CAAGGTGGACCGTCTTAACCAATTTCAAGTATCTGTTGATCTCTTGGAATTGCAAAAAATTCAGCTCAAGATTCTGTTCGGCATCGCGAACCGCATAATTACCCCCTTCCAACCCAGACCTCCGGGACTGTATGAAAGGCAACCGGCGCCTTCTCAAGCCTGCGTGGCAGAGGCAGGAGGCCATTTAGGTGAGTTCCATCACGTCGCCCTATCGACCCGACCACGGGAACTGGACATAGACAGTCCAAACAGTGACTCACGGAAGTCAGAGCTCCGGATTGGTTCTGCGGATCCGGTGGTTCCAGTGTTCGATTCCCCTGTAGGAGGGAGGTTAGGTCTGTTTGCTCCCAACTGGGAGGTTCTGGGAGATCCTTTTGTCACAATGACTCTCATTCCGCGACTGTCGACTGCCTGTGGTGGGGGATCCACCCTCACCACTCAACCCTTGCAGCAAATATATCCTCTGGATCGGGCTGCAGTCCTTTCGACTACAATCCAAACTCTACTGGAGAAACATGCAATAGAACACCTAGATCAGGTGTGCATAACTCCAGGTTTTACTCCCGATTTTTCTGGTGCCAAAGAAAAACTCCAGCAAGTTGCGTCTCATCTTCAATATGAAGACATTCAGCGCTCGATTCCTGCAACAACCACCTCATTTTTCGCATGGTATCGGTCAGTCTTCTCCGCTCAATTCTGAAGAAAGGGATTTCCTCATATCCCTAGATCTTCAAGGCATACCTGCACATTCGATTCACCCAGATCATCGGAAATATCTCAGGTTCACCGCCGGGGGCCATCACTACCAATGGAGCGTCCTTCCATTTGGAATCTCTCTGACCCGTGGCTTTTACTTCGGGTGACCAAACCCATCAGCAGTTTCCTACATTCTCGGGAGTGACTTTGAAAGCTATATCGGCGATTGTATTCAGGCACAACAGGATCAAGCGTTCTTCAAATCCATCGGAGTTCACCATCAGGCTGCTCAAACAGTTAGGGTGGCTCCTCAATTCTGAGAAGTCGGAGTTAACACCGACTCGCAGACTTCAGTTCATAGGAGCAATCTTGACACAGAACAAGCCAAGTTGTTTGTTCCCCAGGACAGGTGGACCAAAATTCAGCGTCTGGTTCCGCTAGCCTTGGATCACCCCAGAACTCGCCAGTGGCAGGAGTTGCTGGCGTCTTAACGTCAGCTCAGGCTCTGACTTACAGAGGTCAACTGCAGCAGCCCACTTCAGTTATTTCTCGCCCTCATCTTCAAACCAACAACCCTCAGGTGTTGATTCGGTTACCAGGGAACTCACGTCCAATTCTCGTTGGTGGCTCAGCGTACAGAATGTTTCGCCCGGCGTCTCTTTGGTGCCATTCAGTCCAACCCATCAGTTGTTTGTGGGCCCTCTCTAGAAGGTTAGAAGCCCACTTCCTTCAGCATCAAGTGGCAGGGCAGTGGTCGTCCGAAGACAAGTCACTCCACATAAACATTCTGGAGTTCAAGGCAGTATTACTGGCGATTCAGCACTGGCGGCTCTACTCAAGATGTCTCACCTGCTGATACAGTCCGACAACTTCGGCGGTAGTGTGGTACATCAATCACCTAGGGTCGCCGGGCTCAGCAGCACTCCTACAGTGGGCGTTTCGTTTCTATCTTCTGATAGATTCTCTCAACATCGTCGCAAGAGCCAGGCACATTCCCGGAACAAAGAGCGTGATTGCCCGGCGGCTCTGTCTCGTTCCAGTCGCCCGTCGTCATTAAGCCCACAGAGTGGCAACTCCTGCCCAAGATTTTTCGGACGATAATTTACCCGATCTCGGCCGAGTGTCGATCTGTTTGCCACTCGGTTCAACTCCCAACTGCGAGATTAAGTATCTCCAATTCCAGATCCACTAGCTTGGGATCGCGGCGCCCTGGCCATTCCTTGGGAAGGCCTCAAGCGGCTTATCGTTTCCACCTCGGCTCTACTTCACAAGGTCATTCAGAAAATTCTGTTAACCAACAAAGTACAACTACTTTTGGTAGCGCCATTTTGGCCAGCGAGAAGTTGGTTCGTCGGCCTAAAAGTCTAGTCAGTCGAAGCAGCATTCCTCTTCCGATCTTGGGACTGACCTACTAGTTCATCCGCTTTCGGGCGTGTATCCACGAGTCACCACAGGCGTTCAATCTTCGCGTATGGCACATTTGCAGAAATCACTAATAGCCAAAGGTTATTCTCACAGAGTGGCCTCAGCTATCACTGCAGCTCATCGTGCGTCTACCCGTTCTTTGTATGGCGATAAGTGGAAGAAATTTGAATGTTATTGTCGGGTCAGAGGATCGCTTCCCCTACTACTGCTTAAGCCCCAGGTTGTTGCGGAATATTTACAACATTTGCGGGCTACAAAGGAAACTCAAAGGGTTCCACTTTAGCCACCTACTTGGCGGCTCTTAATTCGGTCCTAGCGCGACTTCTGAAGTGCGAAGGTTTCGGACGGTACGGAACTGCAGTACCGCCGTTCTTTTAAGCTAGCCGACCAATCCAGGAAATTTAGATCCACCAGCTTGGGACTTATCCGTGGTCCTGCACCACTTAGTGTCGAGCATTATGAACCCTTACAGGACAAGGAGTTTGAACAAGTTTCATTCAAGACCTTTTTCTTATTGCCTTGGCCACAGCGGCGTACGTATATCAGAACTGCATGCTCTAGATATCAACCGTGTCCGTTTTGAACAGAGTAGACATGGCAAGGTATTGTTGGGATTAGCTGGGATTTTATTGCAAAAAACAGTTGCGGGTCAACCTGATCGTCTTTTACAATCCCGCCTTTGTCTACCATATTGGGTCCAGCAGATGTTGAAGATCTGTCTCTTTGTCCAGTCAGAGCGCCGCATTTACCTTAAAGCATCGCCAAAAGCGCGCCGTCTGCGTAAGAGGCTATTTATACCCTTGTCTCACGGCTTCCAAAGGCGGAAGTTTCTCGCACAACACTCTCATATTGGCTCTGAGGCTACAATACTCTGAGCCTACACTTTTGCGGTTTGCCACCACCTCGACGCAGTCAACCCTCATGAAACCAGGGCTTTGGCTTCTACTATGGCGTTGCATAGCAACTGCTCGTTAACTGCCATAATGGAGGGTGTTTTTGGCGATCTGACCGCGGTATTTTCGTCTCATTACCTCAGAGATGTGTCGGTGGCGGATATTCAAGGCCTTCATCAGTTTGGACCACTTTCGTCCTTGCCCAGCAGTTATCAGCGGCACAACATACATGAATAATGAACTTTCTTGTGCTCCGATGCTATATGGATCCCACTGTGCAGTTGATCCCAAAGTTAAGCGATCGTTTCTGCTTGTGTACAATCTGAATAAATCTGAAAAACTTTTTCTGATTTCGTCTTTATTTCTTCGAGTTTAGATTTTCTCCTCTCATTTGTTTGAGACTACAGAAATTAAGCCACCTCACTTACTGTCCTCTGCTCCGCGCGGAGTAATTAAGTCAGTGAAGTGAGTCCTTCGAAGTGTTACGCCGTGGCGTTCATGCTCCTAAGTGCCTATACACATCTATGTGATCTTATTGTGGTAAGTAATGGAAGTCATAAGATGATGTTGTGGTACTGAGCGTTAAAATTGTGAGTTTTACCGATTCAATTTCTCTTTCACCCTCCTCGGGGCCGGTGTCTGTGGGGGTTGTTTGAAGCAGGGGCTGGCCGATACTAGTCGTTTGACTTTTATTACGGGGGTACCTTGGAAATCGTGGCGATGCGACTGATTACACTCGTTAAGCTCGTCCTTTCACTTTGTGAAGGTAGTGACTGAACACCACATTGCTTTCGGGGGAATCGGTCCCTGGGAGCAATTGTGCTTAATAAGTCAATGGGTTCGACCTAACCCTGCATGCGTAGTAACTTGGTAGTTATTGCCCTACCTTGCAGTTGCTTCCCTCACGGTTGTTTGGAAGTAACACTAGCTGTTATCGCTTGAATTCGGGTAATCTATGACCCACCTTCCTACCGTGGGATAAGTGCAAGTCGTGAGATAGGATAAGTTTAAAATTTGAAAATTTTAACTATAAATTGTATATTTATATACTTATCCTATCTCGCAGCGATAAAAAATCCCCTCCTACCTCCCACTACATAGATTACCACCGTTCGGTTTGTCCTTTTATGGCTCCAAGATCGAGAATGAGTATGTGAGGTGATCCGTGGGTGAGGACTGCGCATGCCTCGTGCTGTCATGGACTAGTGAGCCGCGACTGAGACAGGAAGGCATGCACAGCCGCGGGGGAGAGAGGGGCAAAGGTAGGTCTTGAGCAAAGTTTTAATTCGTTTCCACTCATGGTGAGATGAAGAGAGAGAGGTGCAAGTCGTGAGATAGGATAAGTATATAAATATACAATTTATAGTTAAAATTTTCAATGATAGTTTGTGTGAAGATGTGGCCATTTGAGGTCACACAGGTTTCTTTCTTGATCAGCCAGTCAGCATCATGGGCTTATGTATTGGCTCATGTATTGGCTTATTGTCCAACGTGCTGTTTTCAGCCGCAGTCCCAATTCTTGTTAGCGATAGCTCATGAATTGTAGTACTTATTGTCTTCAAATTTGGTGACAGATTACATTGGGGATTCACGCAGACACCAGTCGATTTGTGTGACTTTACCTTATTTTCAAGGTCAGCATGACTCTTTGACTACTTTTCAAACTCTAGTTAACGTGATATGTCATGCACTGTTGGACCCAATGTCTTCAAATTTGGTGACAGCCCACATTGGGGGATTACGCAGACACCAGTTGATTAGGGTGACCTTTCCTTATCTTCAAGGTCACCATGCCACCTTGACCACTTTTCAAACTTATGTAAACGCGATATCTCATAAAATGTTGCACCCAATTTTAGCCTCCGAACTGAAGAGTATATTGCCATTTCTTACAAATTTAATGTCAGGAAGTAACATAACAGATATCAGGGTAGGGTAGGGTATTAGAGGATGGGCTACCAGAGTAGAAAATTTGAACCCGTCCCAGCCCTAGTACACAGTGATACTGACAGTGGATGTGTGCATCTGTATATATACATTCAAATCTACTATATTCCTGGAATATCTTCTGAGTTAGGAGAAGATTCTGAGAAAAGACCATGACTACAAACTACATCACACAAAAGATAATCTTCTATGTGACCAAAAGATAAACACTAGTAAATATGTTATAATATTTCATTCTTCTTTAGCAGTGGGGAACATTGCCATGTTAGTGGCAAACACTTGTTATCCCCCGCCGTGCGTTTAGCGCGAAGCGGGGGATATAGTATTAGGCTCCATCCGTCCGTCCGTCCGTCCGTCCGTATGTACGTACGAATTGGAATATCTTAAGAACCGTTCACTAGATTCTTTTCATATTTAGTACCTAGGTTCATCACAGTATAAGAAAGGTCCAAGTCAGGTTTGGTGACCTTGACGTTAATTTCAAGGTCACAAGGGGACTTTAACGTTTTACCTGCATGTTCAGCTATCTCAAGAACCGTTCACTGGATTTTCTTCATAGTCAATACAAAGCTTCATCTAGGGAAGGCGCAGGGCCCAGTCGATTTTGGTGACCTTCACTTAATTTTCAAGGTCACAAAGACACTTTGAAGATTTAAGCATGTAAACCTGCATGTTAAGCTATCTCCAGAACCGTTCACTGCATTTTCTTCATATTCAATACAAAGCTTTATCTAGGGAAGGCGCAGGGCCCAGTCGATTTTGGTGACCTTCACTTAATTTTCAAGGTCACAGAGACACTTTGAAGATTTGAGCATGTTCACCTGAATTGTCAGCAAGATATTTCAAAAACAGTTCACTGGATCTTCTTCAAAGGCTTTCAAGACTTCCCTTGAATGTTTTTCAAAAAGCAATTTCTTTAGTACTATTTTTGCATATTTCATACACTATGACATTCATGTCAGAGTCAGTCTTGAAAATATGTGTGTTTGAACACCTAAAGAGCAAGACATCAAGAGAGGTTGACTGGTCATGTTTTGTTGACATTTAACTTAAACTTTCATTACTTTATAAGTTTGATTTGATAAGTTGCGGCGGGGGATTATGTCACCTTAGTGACAATGCTTGTTAATAATGGTATGAATGTGGAAAGCAAGATCTGCAATAGAATTGATATTCAGCAACCCATGCTTGTCATAAGAGGCAACAAACAGGATCAGGTGGTCAGGCTCACTGACTTGGTTGACTCATGTCATCGGTTCCCTATTGTGTAGGTCAGTGCTCATGAAGAAGAATAATGACAATTATTATGGATATACAACTTGTGTATGCTTGACGACATTAGAATCTATGTCGCCGAAACGTCGCCTCCACAGAATAAAAGAAGTTGTATATCCATAATAATTGTCATTATTCTTCATCAACTCATCTTCTAAAATGCCCTTCAAAGAAATGCTCATGAGGTTGATCACTGGATTGTCCGGTCCAGACTCGATTATATACAGACGTCTGCCACGTAGGTGGAATATTGCAGAGTGATGCATGATGCAACAAACAAAGGAAGGCATTCAGATCGGAATATCTTATATTTTGTATCTCAAACACAAACAAAGAACATTGTATCACTAATCTCCCTGCCAGTGACTGCCTCCGTGGTGTAGTGGTTAGAGCGTCCGCCCGGAGAGTGGAAGGTCGCTGGTTCGATCCTCGACCACGTCATACCAAAAGACGTTAAAATATGGTACTTGTTGGTCCCTGCCTGGCGCTCGGCAATAATGGGTACAACAAGGACTGGTCTGCTCGGAATCAGTTTAATGTGTCTGAGTGGGGTATTCATGCTTCACAGCCGCATGGTATCTCAGTGGGCTAGCAGCCGCACATACACATACACACGCATGCACATCGTCATATGAGCGAAATATTCTCAAGCATGACGATAAACCCAATTTCACCTCACCTCACCTCTGCCAGTGAAGGTGGGTAGTATTTTAGTCATTAGACAGTTTGTTACTGTCTGTAATCTGAAAATGTAGGACAAATGACTTTGAATCATTGTACAATGCCATTTAGAAAGTGGTCAGATGTAACGTATGTTATATTTGGGATTACACTTTCTTAGTAAAGTACAGATTCTTGTACTTTTGGCCGTGGGAGCAGTGCCAATTAACACTTCTCAGAGGGGTACACAAGTCCTTAGTCTAGACACCAGTTGTCCTACTTCTATTTAAGTGGAAGTCATGGTGGCTAAGTGGGTTGGGCGGCTGACTTTGTGTGCTGGCGATTAGGTGCCTGACTTAGGGAGTGAGTTCGAATCCCGGATGGGATCATCCCAACAAAAGTACTAGAATCTGCACTTTACTAAGAAAGTGTAATCCCAAATATAACATATGTTATCTGCTAAAATACCTGCAAAAACATATTGAAGGTAATTCTTTTAAGTACATAAGTCAACAATAACATCCTCACATATCTACTTTACTCAGAAGGAGTAGTCCCATTTATGACAAATGTTACATTAGACTACTTTCTAAATGCCATTGTGTATGTGTAGCCTTTGGAGCCATGCCAATTATACTCTTGTCAGAGGTGAGGTGAAAGTGGGTTTAACGTCATGCTTGAGAATATTTCGCTCATATGACGACGTGCATGCGTGTGTATGTGTATGTGTATGTGTATGTGCGGCTGCTTGTACTAGCCCAGACTGAAGCTGGTTTTATAGTGCCAGCCCACTGAGATACCATGCCGCAGTGAAGCATGAATACCCCACTCAGACACATTATACTGACTCCGAGCCGACCAGTCCTTGTTGTACCCATTAATGCCGAGCGCCAGGCAGGGACCAACAAGTACCTTATTTTAACGTCTTTTGGTGTGACGTGGTTGGGGATCGAACCCGCGACCTTCCGCTCTACGGGCGGACGCTCTAACCACTACACCACGGAGGCGGCCTCTTGTCGGAGGAGTACCCAGAGTCTGTGATCAGACATCCAAGTTATCCGCAGCAGCTTAGATCGTTGCTTTGTGTGCTGGTGATTGACTTCCTGACTCTGAGAGTGTGGGTTCGAATCATGAATGGGACTCACCCATTCTGAATTTCTCAATGTACTAGAATCTGTACTTTACTGAGAAAGTAGTCCCAAATGTAGATAGATGGCCTATGAGGTTACTAGTTAGATCTGATTGTCAGACTGTGTGACATGGTTGATGTAATTTGATCCTACAGATGTAACAGAGGTGTGTGAAACCAAACATACCAATCACTGGTTTAACCCTACTTGTTTGTTTGCAGGCTAGTTTGATATAACCCCAAACCAGAACAAACCAAACATATGTATACATTTTATGTCTTTGCTTTATATTTGTGAGGCAGTTTATGACAGATCTTTGGATTCGTCAGAGTCTACTGCCCTGAAAAGTCGTTTTACCCCCAATGATGTGATTTGTTATTATTTTCAGGTCTGGCTTTAAGATAGTCATTCTGGATGAAGCTGATGCTATGACTCGGGATGCTCAGAATGCTCTCAGGAGAGGTAGGTCACCATGGCAACTCAGTAGCATCAAGGAGGAGGATGTCTCTAATTATTCAAAACTTGCATCTGTGTGACCCGAATATGTGAAATGCAACTTTTGTATACATTGCAAACTGCACCAGTTTTGGGTCTTTTATTCATTGATGTAATATTAACACAAATGTAGATGAGATTTGTTTTCTTGTATTCACGGAGGTGAGCTTCAGTACCTTGTGTTTTGTTACAGTGATTGAGAAGTTCACAGAGAACACCCGATTCTGCATCATCTGCAACTATCTGTCCAAGATCATCCCAGCCCTGCAGTCTCGATGTACCCGCTTTCGATTCGGTCCGCTGTCCACACATCAGATGGTGCCGCGACTGGAACATGTCATAGCACAGGAGGGGTAAGCTGGTAGGACAAAACATCTCAACAGTAAGCTGGTAGTACAAAACATCTCAACAGTCAGCTGGTAGTACAAAACATCTCAACAGAAAGCTGGTAGTACAAAACATCTCAACAGTAAGCTGGTAGTACATCTCAACAGTAAGCTGGTAGTACAAAACATCTCAACAGTAAGCTGGTAGTACAAAACATCTCAACAGTAAGCTGGTAGTACAAAACATCTCAACAGTAACTGGTAGTACATCTCAACAGTAAGCTGGTAGTACAAAACATCTCAACAGTAAGCTGGTAGTACAAAACATCTCAACAGTAAGCTGGTAGTACAAAACATCTCAACAGTAAGCTGGTAGTACAAAACATCTCAACAGTAAGCGGGTAGTACAAAACATCTCAACAGTAAGCGGGTAGTACAAAACATCTCAACAGTCAGCTGGTAGTACAAAACATCTCAACAGTAAGCTGGTAGTACAAAACATCTCAACAGTAAGCTGGTAGTACAGAATACTCAACAGTAAGCTGGTAGTACAAAACATCTCAACAGGCAGCTGGTGGTACAAAACATCTCAACAGTAAGCTGGTAGTACAAAACATCCCAACAGTAAGCTGGTAGTACAAAACATATCTCACTAGTAAGGTGGTAGAACAAAACATCTCAATAGGAGTGTGGTAGTACAAGCATATCTCAATAGTAAGGTGGTAGTACAAGCATATCTCAATAGTAAGGTGGTAGTAATAGCATATCTCAATACTAAGATGGTGGTACAAGGTTTATCTGAATATTAAGGCGGTAGTACAAGGTATCGCTCAAAAGTATGGTGGTAGTACATGGCATATCTCAAGAGTAAGGTGGTAGTTCAAGCATATCTAAGTAGTAAGGTGGTAGTAATAGCATATCTCAATACTAAAATGTAAAGCGGTAGAACACGGTATCGGCTCAAAGTATTATGGTAGTACAAGGTATGGCTTAATAGTATGGTGGTAGTTCATGGCATATCTCAAGAGTAAGGTGGTAGTTCAAACATATCTCAATAGTAAGGTTGCAATACAATTCCTTCCTTAATAGTGTGGTAGAAGTACAAGGCTTATCTCACATGGTAGTACAATACTATATGTGACAATACTCATGTCTGACTGTTCAGAACCCTCAGTTGTGAGGGTCACTATCACGTAATGAAGCAGCAGCACGATTGCATCAGCAGGTGCTGTGGCTCATGCCAAGGGAGACTGCTAATCACTAACTGTTAGTTCTTAGCTATAACCACAAGTTCATGCCCAGCCCCTGCCATAAATTTGGGGATCATTATTTATTGTTAAGAATATTTCTGGACCTCAGTGAAGTGAATGTCATATTTCCATGTCAGTTGTTTCTGATGTGCACTACAAAAACTTGACTTTATTTCAAATAATTATCACCTTTTTTTCGCTTCTTACAGGATTAATGTGACAGAAGATGGGATGAAGGCTGTGGTTACCCTGGCAACTGGAGACATGAGGAAGTCTCTCAACATCCTACAGGTGAGTCATACCAGAACACCCCTTGGCTCTGCCAATGCAAAATATTAACTTCAATGCGGTCTTTGGTCATTTTCAAAATGTGTGCGTGCCTGCGTACGTGCGAGCTTGCGCGCGAGAGAACATACCCACCCACTCACCCACCCACCCACTCACCCAGCCCTTTTGGATCTGCTAAGAGTGGCTGTCAGTTACTATTTGACATCACCAGTTGAGAAAAGAATTACTACCCCATGCACCATCCTACACGCCTATTCAACCCCTCTAATTCTATGTACGAAAAACTTGCCTTATATGTGTCGGTATACAGTAATTATATCTCTGCCCCTCCTTATAAGCAATTTTGGTGTTGACTCTTGGCTATACAGTTGTTGGCTGTCCATGGTATTTTTCTGAGAAATCCAGATCTGCAACATGCCGCACTAAGAACCTAATGATAATGTACATTAATTGTCATGTCTTGAAACTACACCATAATGTGCTTCCTGAAACACTTGCCTCCAAATGGACGTACTTATATGTTCGCCCCTTGCAACACTGTCTCAGTGTTGAGTGATTGAGATGTTACACCTTTTTAGCTACAGTGTAAGATCTTCACCATTTCAGTTTCCAATTCAGTGCTTGTATTTGACGCTCATTGTTGCAGGAAGTGAAACTTGTTCCATTTGTAGTTAGATTACTACCCAGTTTCCTAACTCATGTTAATAAGGTCAGGACTTGTGTCCTTTGTAGGGGGATTTGTATTTCACTTAAACAATCAACACAGATGAAGACGTTTGAAGTTTCAACTCTGGCATTGCATTGTTATCCCCCTGGCATGTAATGCGGGGGGATATAGTCGTCGCCTCGTCCGTCTGTCCGTCCGTTCGTCCGTCCGTAATCATTTTGTTTCCGGGGCAAAACTCAAAGACCGTTCGATATTTTTCAACAAAAATTGGTAGATATGTCAAACATAACCTAAGGTGGTGCCTTTTGCTATTTACAGATTATTGTCATTTTTATTTTTCTCTGTTTCCATGGAAACGTTTTGGACTTAGTCTTAAAGAGGGGTGGGCTTTGTTTCCGGAGCATAACTCAAAAACAGTTAAATATTTCTCAACAAGACTTAGTAGATATATCAAACAGAACCTTAAGTGGTGCCTTTTGCTATTTGCAGATTTTTGTCATTTTTATTTTTCCCGGTTTCCATCGAAACAAGTTGAACTTAATCTCAATAGGGAGGGGTGACCTTCGTTTCCGGAACACAACTTGAAAACTGTTCAATATTTTTCTTCAAGACTTGGTAGATATATCAAACATAAGCTAAAGTGGTGCCTTTTGCTATTTACAGATTTATGGCATTTTAATTTTTCTTGGTTTCCATGGAAACGTTTTGGACTTAGTCTCAAAAAGTAGGGATTGCTTTCGTTTCCGGAGCACAACTCAAAAACCGTATAATATTTTTCAACAAAACTTGGTAGATACATCAAACAGATCCTAAAGTTGTGCCTTTTGCTATGTAGGAATTTTATGAAAATGAAGTAGTTTCCTGTTTCCATGTCAACAGGTTTGATCATTCATTGTGGTGTGTTTGTTTCGACTACATCTCTAAAACAGATAGGTATTTGTTGACTGTCAGATAGTTTGTTCTTTCAAATATGTGGGGGCCAGGGGGATATGTCATCTTCTGATGACTCTTGTTAAAATTTGACCTTAAATAAATTCCCACTTTTAATCATTAATTGTTTGATAAATAATTTTCAGTTTGCCTGGCCAGGTCACATGGAGTTCTTGATAAATGTCTAAACTTGTGACTTATCACGGAACACCAGCTGACACACTTCACAGGGTTCTGGTAGTCATAGTGACACGTTGTGTTGTTTCAGAGTGCGTCCATGGCCTACGAGGAAGTAAATGAAGACAACGTGTACACCTGCGTGGGGCATCCTCTCAGGAGGGACATCGAGAACATCGTCAACTGGGTCCTCAACGAAAACTTCACAGCGGCGTACAACAGTATCCTTGAGTGTGTTAACTGTGATCTGAGAAACTGATACTGATTATTTATTCTGGGGTGTATTAACTACCGACCCATGACCTTCAGTATGGACTAGTTACAGCTATGACTCACAGCTCGTCTGGCTTTTTGTGATTAAATTTATATCTGACACAGCTGAGGTATAACAAAGAGATGTTTAAAATGTGTCCTGCTCATAATACTGCCTGGCGCTAGGCATCACTGCATGCACATCTCCCTGAATACACAATAACTGTAACATTACGCCTAGATTCACCTTAGATCTCCTCAACACACCTGTTGATGTCGACTCCATCGTCTTGACACCGAATGATTATTCACATACACAGAGTTGTTTCTGTGATGCAGCACCCTGATGCTAATTGTACACCTTGAAGAGGTACCTGAAGCATTGATTGTACAGGACCATGTCTGTGGACTGCCTCCGTGGTGTAGTGGTTAGAGCTTCCGCCCAGAGAGCGGAAGGTCACGGGTTCGATATCTGTCCATGTAATACCAATAGATGTTAAAATATGGTACTTGTTGGTTCCTACCTGGTGCTCGGCATTAAAAGGTACAAGGACTGGTCGGCTTGGAGTAGGTAAAATGTGTCTGAGAGGGGTATTCATTAGAGTTGTGACGATATATCGTAGTATCGATAGTCGTGATACTTTTTCTGACAATAAATATATCGATACTTTTTTCCGTATCGTGATATGTGTCGTTGACCTTAAAATTGTGACTTTTCACCAGAAATTGACGGTTATGTCAAACTTTGCACTGTTTCTTGTTATCAAAATGGGCGGTGGGGTAGCCTAATGGTTAAAGCGTTGGCTCGTCACGCCGAAGACCCGAGTTCGCATCCCCACATGGGTACAATGTGTGAAGCCCATTTCTGGTGTCTCCCGCCGTGATGTTGCTGGAATATTGCTAAAAGCGGCGTAAAACCAAACTCAGTCAGTCAGTCAGTCAGTGTTATCAAAATACACTTTTTAAAGAAAATAACTAAAGATAGCATATCGTGATATGCATCGTATCGAATCGTATCGTTCCATGATATCGCGATACGTAAAACCAAACTCAGTCAGTCAGTTCTCAAGTAAGATGTTAAACCCCATTTCACCTCTCCTCATATGTCTCTCTTTGTTGTTTAACACCATACTCTTCAATACTCAACTATATGGCGGCGGTCTGTAAATAATCCAGCCTGGACCAGACAATCCAGTGATCAACATCATGAGCATCAATCTACTCAATTGGGATACAGTGACATTTAGTTACCATCGTGATGTATGTTTGGTCAACTTCAGTTATCTCCCTTACCTATGTGAGACATCAGCCACCTGAAGGTGGCCAAAGGCCTGGCTCTCCAGGACATCCTGACCGAGGTCCACCAGTACGTCCATCTAGGTAGGTCAACACTTGATTGTCATATTGGATTCACAAGAGGAGACCGCCTCCGTGGTGTAGTGGTTAGAGCGTCCACCCGTTCGTTCCCGGACCGCGTCATACCAAAAGACGTTAAAATATGGTACTTGTTGGTCCTGCCTGGCGCTCGGCATTAATGGGTACAACAAGGACTGGTCGGCTCGGAGTCAGTATAATGTGTCTGAGTGGGGTATTCATGCTTCACTGCGGCATGGTATCTCAGTGGGCTAGAACTATAAAACCAGCTTAAGTCTGGGCTAGTACAAGCAGCCGCATATACACATACACATGCATGCACGTCGTCATATGAGCGAAATATTCTCAAGCACGACGTTAAACCCAATTCCACCACCACCACCACAAGAGGAAGGTTTTACACTGGATATAGCAATATTCCAGCAATATCTTGTTGGGGGACAGAAACAGAAGTTAGCTTCACACATTGCACTCTTGTACAGAACTGAACCAGGGTCTTTGGCCTGACAAGCAAATGCTTTAACCACTATAATTTGGCTTGAAATGCATGTGGACCCGGTTTTTTTTTCAAAGGTAGGCATCCAAAGTTAGATTCTTTTGACATCAGGGTCATCAGCATAGCTGACCTACATTGACGAACTTTGACCTTTATGACCCAACACTACCGCTGTTACAGGTCATTGGCTCCCTCCCTCTGCAAGCCTGCGTTCAGCTGTTGTTTTTGTTGACAGTTACATAGACAGATTCTTTAATACAAAAGCATAAAATCGGTGATTTACAATGTGATTAGGTTGTCTGACAAAACCTCCACTTGCACAGTTTGAGATCGATTGGGTCATTGGATGAAGAGATATTTACAAAAAAACGGGTCCACATGCATTTCATGCCAAACTATAGGCTACCCCACTATTCCAGTTGATGAAAATCAGAATATCAATATTGCTTTGGCTGTATAGGTTATCAGTTTGACTATGGTCACAGAGATATACTTACTTTGGCCATACAGATTCCCAAAGATTATGAAAATTATGTCTGGCTGTACAAATTGTCAGTTGTATCATACTAGGAATTATCAAAATAATTTTACATGTAAACAAAGTTACTTTGGCCCAAAACATTATCAAAATTGCTTTTGTCCAACAGATTATCAAAATAACTTTCGGCAGACAGAATATAAAGTTACTGTAGGCCATATGAATTATCAAAGTTACTGTAGGCCATTTGAATTATCAAAGTTACTTTAGGTCATCTGTTATCAAAGTTACTTTAGGTCATCTATTATCAAAGTTACTTTTGTCTGTATTGATCATCAAAGTTACTTTGGGCCATATGAACAATCAAAGGTACTTTGGGCCATGCAAATAATTAAAGTTACTTGAGGCCATGTGAATTATTAAAGTTCGACTGTAGGCCATAGGAACATTTTGAAAGTTCCTTTAAGGCCATACAAATAAATGCAGTTATTTTGCGCTATAAGAATGATCAAAATTACTTCAGGCCTTGTGAATGATCAAACTTACGTTATGCCATCTTAATAATTGAAGTTACTAAGGTCACATGAATTATCCAATTTACTAATTGACAGTTGCTACATTGTTCCTCTCTGCCTCAACAGTTGACCTGCCAATCCATGTGCGAGTCTATCTGCTGGAGAAACTGGCTGACATAGAGTAAGTGTACCTTCAATACCATAGGGGCCAGAACTGACGGAGTGGGTAAAACATCATCATCAGCAGCAGCAGCGCTGTGGGGAAGGGCTGATAATGTACAGTCCTGATTCGTTGTGAGTTTGTTTCAGAGATTATTAATTCCGACATGCTGGTCTGACTGAATATATAAGCCTTGATGCAGAGTGATTTCAAAGTTCACCTGTAGTGTGGAGAGGCCTCGAGATTCTCACTTGGAGTGGTATTATATCACAGTAAAAGATATGATTTAACTGAAACAGACCAGTGGCTATGGGATCTTTACTGAAATATCAGCTTCCATTCCTGGGGAATGTGACTGGTCACAACATCTTGCTTATATTTCAGGTATCGCCTGGCATCAGGAACCAGTGAGAAGATCCAGCTGAGCTCCATGATTGCTGCATTCCAGACTGCACGAGACCTGCTGGTCAGCGAGGCCAAGTGACCACCTTGGATACTGTGGGACAAGTGACACAAACTTTGACACTGTGGGAGGTGGTTAGCGTGGCCCTGTGACACAGACTTTCATACTCACGGAGGTCTTTTTATCTAGGTCTCGTGATACAGCCTTTGACCCCATGGGAGGTTGTTAGCAATGTAAAGTGATACAGCCTTTGACCCCATGGGAGGTTGTTAGCAATGCAAAGTGATACAGCCTTTGACACCATGGGAGGTTGTTAGCAATGCAAAGTGATACAGCCTTTGACCCCATGGGAGGTTGTTAGCAATGCAAAGTGATACAGCCTTTGACACTATGGGAGATGGTTAACAAGGCCAAAGCTACCTTTGTATAAATTGTATATATAAATCAGAATGTCATCTTGCATTGTGTTCATGTTTTCATTGAGGCCATGTAGGGTGATGGGTGTTGATTATATTCTGTCTTCACGAAGGGCCTGGATAACCTAACCAGGGCTTGAGACACTGGGGCATTCGAACAAGGTGTTAAACTCATTCCTATTGTACACTGGAGTGAAATGTCATAGACATATGAGAACATCTTTATTTCATTACACTTTAGAAAAAAGTTAGGACCACGTGATTTTGACTGATTACTGTGTTATTACATTTCCTGCGCACACTTTTGAAATTCATTAAATTCTAGGTAATCCCCAAAGTTGCAAACTGAACGTTAACCAAGAAATCTATAAAACCAGAATTCAGTGTGAAACCAACAAATAGCAAAATGAATACATGACTCATTTTTATCCCCCGCAACGCGTTTTGTGGGGGGTATTAAAATGGACTCCATCCATGCGTCGGTGCACATTTGTCTTTTCCAGAGCGTAACTTTAAAACCGTTCACTATTTCTTCACCAAACTTTTTGCACATAGATAGATCTGGTTGTCTACTGGTGCCTTTTGATAGTTTTGGATTTCTGATTAAAATATTTTTTGTGTTCCATGGCAACAAGTTTGACTGGAGCTGAAATTAATTGTGGATGCAAGACACAAAAATTTTACTCACACCAATAATTTATTCTGGTATACGTTCAATTTCACTTTGACTTCTTTCTTTGGCTTGATGAGGTTCAGAAAAATTTGTGTTCATGCCAACTACAACAGCTGAATGTCTCCAACATGGAGGCAGTGACAAGCCATGTGCTCTGATGAGGAGCAACACTCACAATCAGGGGAAGTAATCTGTTATGACAATCATGATAATACTTTTTGGAAAACTAATAACAGTTATAGCCAAGCTAGACTTTCTGAACCTCATCTGAACTAAATTTTACAATGAAAATTACTACACTATTTTAGAACTTTGTACTTTGCAACATAAAAAATATAACCTTTTTGACAACAAATATCTTTAGTGCATGAAATTATAAACTAATTGGAGTGAACATTTTTTCTGCATCAACACACTCGGCCTCTTAAACAACATTGTTTAACAAACTTCTCACAATGCAGAAACAATCTGAAATAACATACAGCCCATAACTTTGGCCATACATTCATACACAATGTCAATTTTCACAAAATTTCACACATCAGCATATCTTTCACTCGTCTTTGGAAGTAATAGTACTAGTTTGTGTACAGGTCTTTGCAGTTCTGTACTTTGAGTTTTCAGTATCACACTTCTCACAAAGCCGTGTTTGTCTGGCTCAACTTTGATCACTCGTCCCATGGGCCAGCATGATCTGTGTGCATTTTCATCCTTGATGAGTACAATGTCATCTATTTCAATGTTGGCGCTTTGGTGTACTCCATTTTTCTCTCTTGTAGGGAATACAGGTATTCTTTCCTCCACCTTGTCCAAAATACATCTGCGAGATACTGAATCCTTTCTCCATCTCCGACGCATGTAGACATCATCACGTTGAAATTTACCTTGTGGAGCCGATGAAAACGTTGGATTTTATCATGAGCAAATGGTTTGGCGTTAGGGGGTTCAGGTCAGTGGCGTCACTGGAAACTGTGGTGAGTGGACGGAGTTGACGATGGCTTCTACTTAGCATAGGGTGCGGTATGCTTCGAATCATCCAAAGCGGTCTCGAACTCATACAGCATGGGAGATAGAATCTTTCGTACAGAACCTATCATCGCGCTCCCATACCCCACCCATGTGACTGGCTGATGGCGGGTTAAACTTCCAGTCGATGTTGGCTTGCAGTAGGTGAGAGTGGATGCTGTTTTGATCAAGTTCTGCTAGTGCTTCTTTCAATTCTCTGGCAGCTCCAATGAAGTTGGTGCCATTGTCACACCATATTTCTTTGACAGGTCCACGTCGTGCTATAAAGCGGCGCAAGGCATGTATGAATGAGTCTGTGTCTAAAAGAGTTGGCCCGTTCGATGTGTATGGCTCTACCGCTAAACATGTGAACAGTGCTCCATAGCGTTTCATCTGTTTCCTACCTTCTTTGATGGTATGCGGGCCAAAGATATCTACACCTGAGTATGTAAATGGCGGTAGCTGGATTCACTTCTGCTGAATGGTAGGTCGGACATCTTCTGTTCACATGGAGGCATTTTCAGTCTTCGACAGGTGACACAATGGGACAGTATGTTTCTCACGGTTGCGTCGGGCTCTGATGACCCAATACTTTTCTCAGAGCTTCGAAAAGTACATGATTTCGGTCCCACATGGCCAAGCTTCTTATGTATGTCTTGTATGATCAGGCTTGTGACATGATGTTTGCTGGGTAGAAGAATCTGGTGCTTCATTTCATCTGGGATCTGAGACTTGCTGAGTCTGCCACCTACTTTGAGAATTCCATTGCTGATGAATGGATCCAGCTTGTAGACCGAAAGCTGTGCTTCGGTTACTTCGGCCTCGTTCAACTGCTGTAAGTACATGGATTTCCTCGTCGAAACTCTTGGACTGCACAAACTTCATGATGATATTCTCTGCACATTCAAGGTTCTCAACTGTGAAAAGTGGTTTATTGTTATATACCCCCGATTCAACTTTACCTTTTCTTTTCCTGATACGAGCTTGGATGTTGTTGATGAGTTGGAGATATATGACTACGCCCCGCTTAAGACGATACCAACTTGAATAATGTTTAATCAAAGTGTCAAGCCCTTCACATTGCATCTTGGTTGGTGATACACCACGTAGTTGCAACTGTTTCCTCTACAACAGATTCTGCCGGTCCGGGTTGTTTTCAGATTCCATTCTGATTCAGATCTCCAGAGGAATTGTGGTCCTTCAAACCAGTCTGATTAGCGCCAGTAGTTGTGCTGTGCTAGCTCCTCTGGATGCTATATGCGCTGGGTTCTCATCAGATTCTACATACTTCCAATCTTTTGGCCCAGAGTAGTCCCTTATCAATCTCACACGAATAGCAACAAATACTGGTATCATCTCTTCTTCTCACTGTTGATATAATGGAGGACAGTCGTTGGAGTCTGTGAAGTAGGTCACGCTATCAATATCTGTATCAAGTTCTTTCAGCATAAGTTGAGCTATTTGAACTGGCGACTGTAGCGTGCTGTCAACTCGAGACGTGGAATACTCACAGGTTTCACAGGAGTCAGTCTTGATTTCCCCATTAGAAAAGCAACATGGACATTTTGCTCAGCATCAGAAAGCGAAGATAAGCTACACAGCCGCATACCCTACCGAGCTGGCATCAGAGAACACATGAACCTGTTTAGATACAACTTTACTCGAACTCAGCAGGCTTCAGGCATCGTTCAATCTTCAGAGTTTCAAGTAGCTTCAGCTCCTTCAACCACTTTTTCCATGAGACTTCATACTTTCCTGGTATATCATCATCCCAGTCCAGATCATTGTTGGCACACAATTCTTGAAGTATCTTAAGCTTAGGGAAGAATGATAGGTGTAACGATACCGAGGGATCATACAGAGATGAAACCGTGGATAGTAGACCACGACGTGTGACTGGTTTCTCAATGAAGTCTGTGGAAAATCCAAATGTGTCTGTATTTACATACCATTTCATCCCAAGAGCACGTTCAATTGGCAGTTCATCATAATCCAGGTCACGGGTTTGAATCTCTTTGGAATGATCACCATCTGGGATTGACTTCAAAACGTTTCTGCTATTTGAAGTGAACTTGGTTAATTTGAAACCCCCATCGCGCATGCGGCTCACGTCATAGATTAGCTTTATAGCTGTCTTGTCATCTTCTACAGATTTTAAACAGTCATCAACGTAAAAGTTCTTTCTGATTACATCAGCTACGAGACTGCCAAACCTTTCTTCTGCCCTGCTGGCTGTGGCTTTCAATGCAAAGTTGGATATGCTGGGAGAGGAGACTGCTCCAAAGATATGTACACCCATTCTATATTCCTGTAAGTCAGCGTTGAGATCACCGTTGGGCCACCACAAAAATCTTAGGCTGTCATGTTGAGTCACTCGCACCTTCACCTGGTAAAACATGGACTCTATGTCTGCCATGAATGCTATCCGTTCAGCTCTGAATCTTGTCAAAACACCTATCAAAGAGTTTGTGAGGTCTGGACCTTGCAGAAGCCTGTCGCTCAACGATGTTCCTTCATACTTGGCTGCAGTCGAAAACCACACGGATCTTTGTTGGCTTTTGGGGTGATAGATTCCATGGTGCTGAAGATACCAAATTCTCTGTGATTCAGCTGACAGTTGACCTTCAGGTATCTTGTCGCGTGAAGCCCTTTTCAAGGAGATTATCAACAAAACCTACATAATCCTTTTGTAGTACTGTTCATTCTGGAGCATTTTCTTTCTTTGCCATTTACAGCTCTGCTCTGTGCTTGAGTCCTGTTGTTTGCACATAATGTATCATCTCTGAATGGTAATGGAAGCTCATAGTGACCATTGACATATTTCACCTGTTCCTCTGCTGTCTCCATAAATCTCCTATCTTCTCTTGAATAGCCCTTCTCCCTGGTACTTTGCCGAGATCCTGCTCACTGAAGTCTCGTTCGAAGATCCTAACGATAGTACTGAGCTAGACATTCCTTCACAGAACTCTTTTCGCAAAGGATGACTCTGTTGCAGACAAGAGTGTTTCTCTCACTATTAAACTTCACATGTAGAGGCCCGTTAATCGTCCAGCCATGCTTATACAACACTGCGAACGGACCATCCCCATCTGATGGAATCACCTTTTGAGGCTGTAAGGCTGAAGGACAGTTACTTCCAATTAGGAGACCAACTTCAAGTTCGGGGTAAAATTCAGGTAATTTACTTGCCATATCTTCAAGATCAGAGAATCGCTCGAGAAACTTTGGATCAGGAATCTGGTTATGATTAACTGGTATTTCCTTTACAAATGTCCTAGGAAGATAGACTGGATGATTGTCCTGATTGTCGGTTACAGTGAGGCCAGTTACAGCTGAGGTTTCTACCATATCTACACCATGCATAGTCTGTAGTTTCAGAGTTGTCGTAGTTGTTGATGCGCCAAGTTGATCTTTGAGTGTCTCGGTGATGAAGCAACCAGTACTCCCATTGTCTAAGAGTGCATAAGTCTTCACCGCTTTACTGTTACCTTGCTGGCGTACGATGACAGGTAGAATCGACTGTAGCACAGTTTCCATCGAGTCAGACTTGGTATTGTTACAAGAAGATGACACTGTTTCTGTTAAATCCTTTTGGATGCCGTTGCCTTCTGTTTGATACTTGGTGTCTGTTGAATGTTGACTGTTGTGTCTCATTTGAAAGTTATCGTCATGTAGTGCTGTTGGATGACGTTTTCCACACTTCCTACATATTCTCTTTCTTAGACATCCTTTGACAGCGTGGTTGTATCCGTAGCATCCATAACACATGTGCTTCTCTCTCAAGTAAGTACGTTTCTCGTTCAGTGTCTTTTGCTTGAAGGCTTCACAGTCATCGATGTCATGTGATTTCCAACAGAAGTGACAGGATACTTTCTTCTTGTGATCAGTGTAGTTCTGTCCGACATTTGTTGCGAAAGTGCTAGACCTTGGTTTGCTAGCAATCAGCTTGTCCTTCCTAAATCCTCTGCTAGGAGTATGTCCACGATTACTTTCAGTTTTACTCATTGCTTCTTTACTGATTTGGCTGCAAAGTCTATGAACTCCACGAGATCTTTAAATCCAATCATCCTGTTGTTCTGGATCCTACACTTAGTAATGTGATCTCGCCACTTGTTCTGGAGGTATTGAGGCAACTTCTGTACTATAGCCTGCAAGTTGGGTGCATGGTTCAGGACGGTCATATGAGATATATTGTTCATAGCATGTGAACATTTGGTGAGAAAGAATGAGAACTGTTTCAGCTTCTGACTATCTTCTTGCCTAATATCTGGCCATGAAAGTACCTGATTGACATGCTGTGGAAACCTTGTATGGATCCCCGTATTCGCCAGCCAGCAACTCCCGAGCCTTCATGTATCCCTCCACTGGTGCCATGTACAAACATCCAGCTATCAACTCCTTTGGTTCCCCCTCCAGATGCTGGTCCAGGTAGTACAACCTGTCTATACTGTTTGTGGTGTGAGGAACTATCCTAGCATCAAATGACATCATGAATGAGCTGTATGCTGTTGGGTCACCCCTAAACTTGGGTACTTCAGGTTGTGGAAGAAACATGGCAGTTGTCATCTGTCTGTGGGTTTGCAGTAGCACATCATTCTGGGTAGGCTGCAATGTTTGCTGAACAGATGAATGCATAGTATTCATAGTCAAAGGTGGGTGAACTTGTGTTGAAGGAGTAAAATAACTTGCATTTGGGTTCAGACCTTGAGGCTTGTATTCTGTCTGAGGTTCTTCATGTTTAACTTCGTGTTTAACAGCCTCTACACCCTGACTGGGGACATTGAGGTTAGAATCACCCTGTAGCTCCAAGTCTATATCAGCATAAACCTTCTCTCTTGCCCTAGTCTTAGCTATTTCTATGTTCAACTGAAGCTCCTTCATTTTACGTGTTTCCTCCAACATGTCTTTTTCTGCAAGAAGTTCAGCCAATTTTGCCTTTTCCTTAGCTAGAGCCGATCTCGTTGAACTTGTAGTTTTTCCTGAAGCTTGGGAACCCCTATTTGACAGATTATCACACTTATCTAACAATAGTCTCTCATTTGAAATCCAACCTTCAACTACCTTTCTAAAGCTAGAAATAGAAATATCCTTTTCTTCATAACGTTTCTCTCACAATCTCTATCTGCCTCAGAATCAAGCTGCTCATAATAGGAAGCAAAGTAAGTGTGATACTGTTTACACAAATCAATCAACTCCACAAAACAAAACTTCACTGAATGTAAATTGTCACTACCACTGTTCAACATTAATCTGGAAAGTTCATTTCTCTTCTTCGTTATGGCTGAAAGCGCTGCAATTTGTCGATTCTGCGACCATCGTAACCTTTCAACCTTCCCTTTCTCAGTCAAAGTTTTAACTCTTCCTGACTCTCTGACAGACTTAGCATTAGTGTGGTTAGCCTCGACCTGGTTAACTGGAGATATACCTTCATCAGAAGTCTCTACAGTTTGCTCTCTGTGTTCCACATTATCAGATTGTTCATTCAATGTCAAATTAGACTGTTCTTCCTGCAGATAAAACACATCATCCCCTGCCGTTGCCATCATAGCACGTTACACGTTACACTATACTATGATGGTCATTATGCAGGAAACAAATGTTTACAAATATTCACTAAGTCCAATTAGGGTAACACTACTGACGTTATTTGGCATTAAAGTTCTGATGGTCAACGTTCTTCAGCTCCAACATCATATGGCAATGGTAGGAAATTTTTCTGAACTGATGTGGATGCAAGACACAAAAATTCTTTACTCGCACCAATAATTTATTCTGGTATACGTTCAATTTCACTTTGACTTCTTTCTTTGGTTTGGTGAGGTTCAGAAAACTACAATGCAGAAATACAGACTTGCTAAGTAAATTATTCCTAACACTCAATTATTCCTAACACTCAAACTACATGACAAGTCTAAGTAAATTACTTCAAATTAACAGTTACAAGATAAATGAATAAAATGTACAATTAACAAAACCTTCAAATAATATTACCTTATTATGCCTTGAAATATATTACAATAGCAAACAATGCTACTCACATTTTAGAACTTTGTACTTTGCAACATAAAAATATAACCTTTTGACAACAAATATCTTTAGTGCATGAAATTATAAACTAATTGGAGTGAACATTTTTTCTGCATCAACATTAATGGTAGTGCTCTTTTCCTGAGCAGAACTCTAAAACCGTTAAATGTTTCTTCACCAAACTTGGCACATAGATAGGTCTATAGGGAAGACCACAGTGACGTCAGTGTTTTGATCACGTGACGTGCCCGAGTACTTCCGGTAGGCAGAAGGTAACCATAAACATGAGAGAACCACACAAGCTGCACTCATTTGATTGTCAACTTTACATACATAACAACTCTTCCCGGTCTGTTTTTTTGGCTTGACACTCAGTGCATCTTCAATCACCAGAATTGTCCTTGTGACGATAGACACATAACAATATTATGTTATTGTTATGACATACTGACATTTTATAATATCTCCCCGTGTTAGAACATTATTCGAAAATCATCGCCCGCGAGAACCATTACGACTTCGAATTTGTAAAAATAAAGATCTACGCACCGGCGGCAACATTGAAGGGACAAAATGTACAACGCAAGCAAAAAATGCCAACTTCTGTTGAAAACAGCAAACAATAACGAATTGAAGGTGACTGAAAACTTAATTCTATTATATATTTGGATTTTACGAGAATTAGAATCACCTTAGAAAATGTATCAATGGTCGTTTTCCAACTCGTGCCTATTTTACCTCCATGAGTGCCATGCCCTACGTGCTTTCCTGCGAGTTTGGGCACGCCCTTACGCGTCACCCACGGCTGTGTGGGAAGGTTTATCCAACAAAATCATTATAAACTCGATATATATGATAATTTTGTTACAAAGACAATACCATTTACCTAATCAGACCATGTAATTAATTCCAACGAAAACTGTTGGATCTATCAAAAGGATGGCACATTTTTTTCGGTATCACGATGCATGTGGAGTTGTTTGTTTACCACCGTTGCCATGATCGTTCCTATTCGTCCAATTGGTGATGTAACATTGATATTGTTTTTGTTTATAAATAATTAAAACGAAAGTTACTAATTTTTAGGAAATGGGAAACTTCAGTGTTTTCTCTTGACCAAAGAACAAAAATACTGATCAAATTATTAAAAAAAATAATTCATTATGAAGAAATATTAGACAGGGTACCACTCGACGTGATGTGCCTGAAGTAAAAAATGGCTGTTATTTGCGGGTGTGTACCGAGAATTTTGGCGAACAAATCTTTAGTTCGCGGGCGTTTCGTTTTAAGGTACATAAACTAATTGAAGATTATATATTTAGAAACCTGAGAATTCATTCATTCCATTCATAATTCAAATGACGTGTAAATCCGACTTGTTCAATAATTATTGCAAGTTTTATTTGGGGATGTCATTATGCAGCTCTCCTGTCGAATGGGTTCGACAGTAGCATTGAGAGGATTAAGTACATAATCCGATCATTGTTTGCTTTTTACGCTACACCGGTTCTCATTGTTATCGTCAGCCATTGTTGCTTTCTGCCTACCGGAACACGCGTGAGCGTAGTTCGTGAGGTCACTTCCGTAAACATATGGACTTTCCTATTGGTGAACTGGTGCCTTTTGGTAGTTTTGGATTTGTGAATAAAATATTTTGGGCATTTCCATGGCAACAAGTTTGGCTTCAAATGAAATTGGTGGTAGTGCTCTTTTTCCGGAGCAGTACTTCAAAACCATTCACTATTTCTTCACCAAACTTGGCACATACATAGATCTGGTTGTGTACTGGTGCCTTTTGGTAGTTTTGGATTTCTGAATAAAACATTTTTGGCATTTCCATGGCAACAAGTTTGACTAAAACAGAAATTGGTGGTAGTACACTTTTCCGGAGCTGAACTCTAAAACCGTTCTCTATTTCTTCACCAAACTTGGCACATAGATAGATCTAGTGGTGTACTGGTGCCTTTTGGTAGTTTTGGAATTCTGAATAAAAACCTTTTGGCGCTTCCATGGCAACAAGTTTGACTTAGACTGAAATTGGTGATAGTGCTCTTTTCCGGAGCAGAACTTTAAAACTGTTCACTGTTTCATCACCAAATTTCATACATAGGTAGGTCAAGTGGTGAACTGGTGCCTTTTGGTAGTTTTGGATTTCTGGATAAAAACTTTTTTGTGTGTGTTTCCATGGCAACAATTTTGGCTTCAACTGAATTTGGTGGTAGTGCTCCTTTCTGGAGCAGATCTTTTCAGTACTCTCCTACCACTTTGCTGTATACACACCAAAACATTTGACATAATCATAACTCGTAGACATATTCATAAAGAGTATTTTGCCATTGCTGGGGATAGTGATGACTTTGTCTTCTTGTATGGATAACAACTTCTTTTTTAGGAAGTTATTATCATGTATTCATGTTCATCCAAATAGCAAAATGTTCTACAACTGTCAGTTGTATTATCAAATTCACTAGGTTCACAAGCCTGTACAAATCACTGCAAAGTAGTCACAATAACGATTGTAGGAAAAAAGGTCCGCAGGAAAAACGTCCTGGGTAAAAAAGTCCTATTGTAATAAAAACCTATTTATTCATCAAGTTTGATGTCAAATATTTTAGAAAAATATTGATAGCTCACACATATGGGTTATTAAACAGATAAATTGATCTTTTATCTTTTTAATGACTCAATATACATTCCAGACCTATGCTGTATGGCGTGGCGTGGCGTGGCGTGGCAGGAAACATTGGAATGAATATGAGTCAGTAGACATTAATATTCTGTAGTAGTAATAAAGCTGAAAACCTCTGTAATGTAAACAGGATCTGTTTATTTTACATTTGTTGTATGAATATACAATACATGAATGTCACTAAACGCTATGAAAAACTAAAGAAAATATTCTTTTGTCAAAAATTCATTTTTCAAAATAGGACTTTTTTGTGGAGGACTTTTTTTCCTAGCCAAATTTAGCACTTTTTTCTGGCACTTTTTTCCAAGGACATTTTTCCGCACACCACAATAACAGTTTGAACAAGAGTTGGAATACAAATTCTAGTGGCAGCATAGAACTATATCAGTGTCTGATAAGTCGGCGATTATAGAATTATAACCTGGCTGCACAAGTTATCAAGTTTCCCAAAATAGTCCTAAAATGTTAACTTCACACCTACTGCTTATCTTGATGTAATATGAGAGGATAGGGACATGTGTTTGCCTACACATGTAGTCCAGATTCCTTCTTGAAAGTTCGATACAATTCTGGATTAGTCCACATCCTCCAGAACATTCCAGATTACACTTGGCCACAAAAAGCATCAAAATACAGTAGTTTCAGCACAAAGGCGAACATTATTTAGTAATACATTCATCACAACTAAGTATTTTAAAAAACCCAATGTTTTGAAATCTTCTGACTCTTAACTTTAAAAAGTGCAATATAACTGGAATAATTACACTTATATTCAACACTAAAAAAAATTGAAATGCATCTTCACAGAAAAAAAGAGGCCAGGACAACTACAGTTATCATTGGACAATACTTTATATCAGTCTGGATGTTTAGATAAATACAAGTCAGTGTCCCAGTTTTAAAAAACTCAAATTTTGCATTATTGAAACATATATTCCGTAACACCAGCATAGTGACATACATCGGGGAAGCCAGGAGTATTTTCTTAGAAGTCTTTGAAGCGGCAGTAAAATCTCCACCACCTTCGCGGATTAATCACGAGAAGCTCTTTGACATCCACCGCTGTATCGCCTACGATGAACAAGAACTAGCACTGTCACTGTAGTAAACACCGGGGTTTTGTGTAATGGCGTTCAGTTCTATTCAGTTTGCATGTCCATGACCTTCAGTTGAAGTAACTGTTGGAAAATGGTTTTGATTGTTTGAATAAATATGATATGATATAAATGCTGCAATCATCCCCAATATATACTCAACCAAGATATCGCGCGTGACCTCTCGTTCATTCAGCGATAGGTTGCTGGAAACCAGTTCCATTCCTGAATCCCAAAATGGTATTCAAGGTGTGCATCTTACTGGAAGGAGTCGACCGAACGTAAGTCTTAATAGCGCATGTTAAAACTAGCAGGGGCGGTGGGGTAGCCTAGTGGTTAAAGCGTTGGCTCGTCACGCCGAAGACCCGGGTTCGAATCCCCACATGGGTACAATGTGTGAAGCCCATTTCTGGTGTCCCTCGCCGTGATGTTGCTGGAATATTGCTAAAAGCGGCGTAAAACCAAACTCAGTCAGTCAGTCAAAACTAGCACTTCAAAGGCAGAATGGAAACTAACAGATCAGGGTCTTAGTTTACACGGGTGTAATTTGAAGCTAAATTGCGGCACCGCACGCACTCACTTAATTTTATATGTTTTTTTCAGTTTTAATTACGATTTTATGTGTTTTCCTCGTTGAGCCCAAATATCCTCCAAATAGACCACCCGAATCCCTCAAACTGGGGCTGAGTTAGCAGCTATTATGTTTAACATCTACACCTGTCATTGAAGTTGCCGGTGCGTTCAGTGACACCCACACAACCGTATAACCCAACCATACACAAACCTATGACACAACCATACACAACACGTACACTCCCACAGACACCGACCAGACTACCGATACCATTCATTAATACTAATTTCAAAGGCTAAACACCCTCGTCAGTCTCAGTCCCAGAACCAGATTATTTTCCCACCCGCCTGATTACATGAAGCAAGTCTAGATTTTCTTTCCTTTTCAGTTTCAAAATCTAAAACGTTAGCCTACCTTGAAATCATACCGTGTCGAAATGCATGAATACATCTTCTACGGAGAGCGGGTGATCAGGCGCGTATCGGCTGGTGAGGCTCGCTGACTAGGTTGACACACGTCATCGTATCCCAACTGCGAAGATCGATGCTCATGATGTTGATCACTGGATTGTGTGGTCTGACACGATTATGTCGATATTAGCTGGAATATTGCCAACAAACAAATCAAACACAGGAGAACATGGCGGTCAAAGTTCTGACTGAGGAAAACTCAACAGAATGATGTAAGTGACGAGAAACTAGCTACTGATATATGTGAGCCAGACGCCATCGTTCTCCATTC